ACTATCATTTCATTTCAGGTTTATTGTTGCTTAATATAAGTGTTATTTTCAACTATTCTTTTTTAATTATTCTTTTTTACTTGTTTCAGGGATTTCAAATCATTTTATATAATAGACAATGGAAGTCCGAACTAGTGAAATTCATCACGAAACATTGTCAATCACCTTCAAACAAGCCTCATACTATTGCAGAAGAGCTTATTCTACCGGCTGCTCCCGACATGGTGGATATTATGGTGGGAGAGTCAGCTGAAAAATTAATTTCCAAGATACCCTTATCTAACAATACTATCAGTCGAAGAATCCATGACATTGCTGAGGATCTCAATTATCAATTAATAGAAAAAATTAAAAGTAAGGATTTTGGTTTGCAACTTGACGAGGTCGTGACGAGGTCACGATGATGCACATCTTATTTGCTACGTACGCTTTCTAGCTGACAATACTATTGTCGAAGATCTTCTATTCTGCAAAAGCATTACCGGTAGTGCGAAAGCCCAAGACTTGTTTGAAATTTTAGACAAGTTTATTACAGAAAATGGTTTGAATTGGGGAAAGTGTATCGGTGTATGTACTGATGGTGCTCGATCCATGTCTGGCAAGTATGGGGGAATTCAAGCGCTTATTCGTAAAAAAGCGCCGAATGCGATGTGGACCCATTGCATCATTCATAGGGAAGCTCTGGCTTCAAAATCAATGAGCTTTGAACTGAACCAAGTACTGGAATGTGTAATTAGTGCGGTAAACTACATAAAAACTAGGCCTCCAAAGGCCAGAATTTGAAAAAAACTATGCACAGATATGGGAGCTGAACATACAGCCCTGCTGTATTACTGTAATTCACGATGGCTTTTACGTGGAAATGTTTTATTTCGTGTGTTCGAATTACGCGATGAAATTCGCACTTTTTTACAGCAAGAACGTCAAGAAAATACCAAATATTTCACTGAACCTGATTTTATGCTAAAACTAGCATATTTATGCGATGTATTTGAGAAATTAAACAATTTGAATTTGTCTTTGCAAGGTAACAACACGCACATTTTGAAACTTTCGGAGAGGATTGCGGCGTTTAGAAAGAAACTGCAGTTGTGGATAAAAAAGTTGAATGAAGGTGGCAGTCAAGATTACTTCCCGCAATTGTATAAATATGCGGCATCAAATGAACTGGTTGTCTCACAAGACCTGATCGCACTTTTCACGGAACACCTAGCGAAGCTCACCGAATGGTTTCCAAAGTACTTTGCAGATGATGATGTTGAAAAATTTGCGTGGATCCAAGATCCTTTCCATGCACAAAGTCCACAAGGATTTGCATCACGAGATGATGAGAGTCTCATTGAACTCTCTTGCGACAGCAGCCTTATAACTAGATTCGCGAGTGTCGATTTGGTCAAGTTTTGGTTATCGATTCAAAATGAATATCCAAATTTAACTTCCAAAGCATTAAAAATTTTCATTCCGTTTGCAACATCATATCCATGTGAAGCTGGATTTTCAGCTGTAGCTGTGATAAAGAACAAATATCGCTCAAGGATCAATGTGGAGTAAGGAATGAGAGTAGCAGTGTCAAGTCTTATTCCCCGCTTTGAAAAACTGTGCGAAGAGCACCAAGCTCATCGTTCACATTGAATTCACTGAGTAAATATCATATTTAATCATATTTAAGCAACACGTTGCTTTCAATTTTTTTAAAATGAACTAATGAAGTCACATGCCTCCGTACTGAAACCAAAAAAAAAACAAGTTTAGCGCACAACAGATTGTGATTATAGTTGTTGAAAGAAGCCTTACTGTAATCGAGAGACAAGAAAAGAGTGACCTTTTCATTATCGATGGCTGGAAAAATATCGTCGGTCATTTTCAACAGAGCACTAGATGTATTGTGATTTGTCCGAAAACCAGATTGGTGTTCTGGCATGATGTTATTATAAGAGACATAAGAGTATATCTGACTATATGATGTATTTTCTACAATTTTTGATATTGCCGGTACTCTATTTATAGGCCTCAAATCATTTGATGTTGAAGGTTTAGAAATTTTGTTCATAGGAAAAATAATAGATGGCTCCAATAGTTCCGGGAAGATACTAGTTTCAAGGCATTTGTTGACTGAATATGTTAGAACTGGAGTTAAGTAAGGAATACATATTTTGATCATTTTGATAGATATCTTATCTGATCCGGAAACATTCGTTTTTATGGAGTTGACTATCATGTTAATATCACACATATTGATTTGATGGCATTTAAAAGTTAAATTTTCTTGAAATTACGTTGTTTTGTAGAAGTTAAGAAGAGTATCCGGAGGTTCAGTCGCAATTTGAGTGACCGAAGTAATAAAGTGATTGTTTATTTCATTTGGATTAGAAACATGTTCAGGAATATCTTTCCTGTCGTTACGATTGACTATGTCAAATAAGTGTAATGTGTTCCATATATGTTTAGCATTTTATTGATTTTGAATGAAATTCAAGTAGGCTTTTTTTCCGTTTGTGTCCCAAACTTCATTTAAAAAAATATCACAACATGTTTCACCAAGAAAACACTATTGTGTTGGCGAAACATGTAATATTTATAATAAAATGAAATTTTTGTATTTCAAATCATGAGGATTAGTTTATGAAAACACTATCCCTCAGAAACTAAAAAATTGTGGAACGTAATTCGAGAAATCAGCAATACAAATACAAAAAAACCATCAATTACAACAAATAAAACTGAAACAGGAATCATACTCACTAAAAAAAGTGACATCGCAAACGAATTCAACACAGTATACACTAATATGGGGGAAAAATGGCAAATAAAATGAAAAGAAATCAAAATTATATATGGCATAAGACTACCACGAATAATACATTTGTTCTTTTTCCGACTGAAGAAGAGGAAATGAACAAAACCATTTTTGAATTGAAGAATAAAAAGTCCACTGTTATTGATAATATCAACTCTGAAATTCTGAAGTGCATCTCACCGTTCATTTCAGGACCACTAGCACACATATTTAATTCATGTATTCAAACAGGAACTTGGCCATCATCTTTCAAACGGTCAATTGTACTCCCAATCCTCAAAAAAGGTGATGATACTTTAATAATAAATTATAGACCAATATCACTCATCACCCATCTGTCCAAAATATTCGAAAGATACTCGAGAAAAGACTCACGACTTACGTTTCTAAATATAAATTGATATCTGAACATCAGTATGGATTTAAGGAAAACGTATCCACCCAAGACGCGATATGGGCTCTGACGTCTAAAGTATCCTCCGCACTAAATGAGAATAAACCATGCCTGTGTATTTTCATCGACCTGTCGAAAGATTTCGACACAGTCGATCATAAACTGCTTCTAGAAACACTTGAGAATATGGGAATACGAGGAAAAAGTTACCTTTCTGATAGAACACAGATAGTAAAAATTGATGATGTTTCAAGCAACCCACAAAACATTAGGATAGGTGTTCCACAAGGTACAGCATTGGGACCAATTCTGTTCAATATCTATGTCAATGGAATTTTTTCGCTGGACAGTAAAGGTGAAATTTTAGGCTTTGCAGATGACACAGCCATTTTTTATGAAGCCAATAACTGGTTACAACTAAAGAATGAGGCAGAGAAAGATATTCAATCAATAAAAGACTGGTTACAATACAGGCAATTGACAATTAACCTGGAAAAAACCATTATTTGCCATTTACTTGCAACAGTTCAATAAAACCATCATTATCGTGGGCCAACATACACTCAAACCTGAAACTAAAATAAAATACTCAGATGGAATTCTCATATAGATTATTTATGCAATAAGCTGCGCTTCATCCTTTATAAATTCAAATTTCTCAAAAATATTTTAAACACAACTCAACTTAAAACTTTCTATCATGCCCTGGTTGAAAGTCACTTACGCTATGGAATTGTTTGTTGGGGAGGAGCCTTTCACACCCATATTCGTTCGCTGGAAGTGTTGCAAAATAGATTCTTGAAATTGGTTTTATTTAAGCCTACGCGCTTCTCTACCCAAGCTTTATTCTCTGAGGCTCATATTTTCGATATTCGACAGCTCTTCTATTACAGCACTAGAACTACATATCATAAAAACAGATGCTTTCGACTACCAACTCATTCCTATGATACCCGTGAAAAAAACAACCATATTGTTCCACGGACGCATAAGTCGATTGTCCAGCGCTCTTATACTCATTTAGCACCGAAATTATTCAATACAGTTCCGGAGTTAATTCGTAACATAAATGTGATTCACATATTCAAAAAGTCCTTGAAACGTTTCATTGTTAGCCAAACAAGGCAAAAAATTGCTCATTTCATTGAAAATAAGGATATTTAGAACTTTTGTGATATAACCGTGAAATGTCCAATATTCATTCCTCTTTTAAATTGAAAGAATTTTATTATAATGTTATATTTCAGTGTGTTATTATTATATTTTCAAATCGAAAGATTTTTATTATTTTGATGATTAGAGATTTTTAAATTTTTGACTTTTGATTTGTTACTCAAAACAAGTGTTTTACTTGTTGAGTGTCAACGGTATTTGCTTGCAATTCTGTGATATTATTATATCTGTAATATTTTGTTATGTAAATAAATATTATTATCATTATAATTATTACTATGGATCTTCATCAGGTAACGGCCGAATCGATCAGAAAAAAAACACGTTGAAAATGAACATCACTCAGGGAGGTCTTCAACTTCGAAAACCAATGAAGACATAGAAAGTGTAAACACTCTTGTGAAATCGTACCGTTGTTCAACCTTGAGATTGTTAAGAAAACAATTGAATTCGAATAGATCTACTCGTCAAATTTTGACTGTACATTTGCTCATGCGAAAAGTCTAAGCCAAAACGGTGTTACAAAACTTCACAATTAGGTAGAAAGACGATAGGAAAAACAAGTGTCTTGATCTTCTTGACAAAATCACCAATGTGCAAGATTTATTTAGTCGTGTGATCACAGTTGACGAAGCAAAGTGAGGAGTGGCACAATGTGAGTTTTTCTCGACCAAAGAAAGTTCGAATGAGCAAATTGAAGATCAAATCAATGCCTGTTTTTTTCATAGAAAGGGAATTGTCCGCAAAAAATGTTCCTCCTGAACAAACTGGTCAACAAACTTTTAGTATGAAGACGTTCTTGAAATGCTCAGAAAATAGGTCATTCGCGTGTGACCAGGTATTGCAGACAAATAGATGCGTCATCATGACAATGCTCCATGTTACTTCTCTCTGTAAAAGAATTCAGGGCCCCAAAACGCATTCTTGTGATTCATCAGCCACCCTCTTCAGCTGATCTTACTCCCTGTGACTTTTTTGTATACCGCAAGGCATGCAAAATTGTGGAGGAGTCATCTGATATTTTTCCAAAATGTTTGATTTTCATAGTCTTGAGGTAGAAAATATGTTTTGGCATTATGCCGTAAGTTGTATATGGTATTCGTGAAATTTTTGAAATAGTGAAAACAACAGCCTAAGAGATGAGGGGTATTTTGCGAAAAATTCTTGTTACCTTCATAAATTCAGAAACTTATTATTACTGAGATCTTGGATCGTTCGCGGCGCCGGTACAAAAATATGAGACAGGAAAAAGCACGGTCCTTGTAGAATGAGATTTTTATAACTGAAACGGTCACTCATCCGGTCATACATTACAGATTAGTTGGTTTGTGGGAAGTTGAACGTGAAATCAATCGTATAAGAATAAATGACCTTGGACCCTATTTTACAGAAGGAAATCAATCTTATGCTCACTGTCACATGAACCCACGGATGTATAAGATATAACAAAATAAAAGACCAGTTTGATATCAGAAACTGATTCCACAAAAGCTGTATAAGTTTTCCGTCAAGAGGCTACTTTTCAGAAAATGAAAATATTTCCTATTTTCCTCTCGCAATTTTTTGTATGACATTCGGTTAGGAAATATCCCATTTGTAATTAGTATCTAACTTCAAGAAAGCCGTACAAGAACTTTCCCAGCTCTCCACGTGCGCCACCTATAACTGACGGCATGAGATTAAAACTCATTTTCTTTGTCAGAACTGAAGAAATCATACATTTTCAGGATGTATTAAATGACTCCCTGGAAATTCAGCATGAGTTTATCTATTCTAGGAGCTTGTATCAAATTTGGAGGGTAATTGTTAAGATCGTGACATTTTTAATGATTGTCAAGAGTATTTAAAAACGATGTTTACAACATAGTGTGTAAAATAGTTATTTATGTATCAAGGGAATTAGGAGAGCCTTAATTACCGATGGCAAAGTTTGCGTCCCGAGGGCCTCTGGCCCGAGGGACAGCAATTGCCTGAGGTTATTAAGGCTCATTAATTCCCGTGGTACATAGATAATTTTATTTCTGACCGATTTAGATATAAGCTTATAATATCCCGGTCAGAAATAAAATATTTTTAACGCTGATGTTAGAAGAAATAACACGATTTATTCGACCAAATATCAATAAACAAAACATGATTATTCAATTATCAAGAAAATTTTATTAAGAACAATATATTTAGATACAA